TCTGATTTGGGCGTTTATTATAATATAAAACAAAATAATCTATAGTAATAGTGAAGAAGCGTAAGAAATTAATGAGATCTAATGCATTATTTGCTCACTACCTTTATATACTTAGTATATTTACAGTATCTGATACACACATTTATATATTATATTATATTATATCTACATTCTACGTTCTAATTGGTTTTTGTTTCTTCTGTAAATTAATCGAATATACTATCGGCAAAGACGCTGAGTATAAGTTTGGCGATTTCAGGTGAATTTTCTGTTTTTGATTTTCATAAAATTTTAGACGTGAAAGTGAATTAAATACAATTTAAACCATCCAATATCCATCATAATAATATATTATATCTAATACAAATAAATATACCATACATTTTAAATATAGGTGACAAGCACGGATTTAGAGTGAAGATTTGCGATAGTAGGACTCGTAGGACTCATTCGTTTAAAACATATATTCATTAATCACCTGCTATGTCATTAAATTTATCTTTTTTTATTTTATATGACATAATATGATATTTTATTTATCGACGATTTAAATACACTTAACCGCCTATGACTGTCTAAAATATTGGGAAACATAATATAACATAATATTATTATATGTATACCGTGTCCGTCCGTATGTATTAATTTAGATTCTGCTGCTGCGGGTCTTCGTATTCCATGCGCGAGGAAAATATCGACTAAATTGTATGCGTATTGCGTATAATACTTTTATGTTATTATAATAGGTATAGGTAGGTATAGTATTCGTTTTGCATTTTGAATTCAAATGCTTGGACAACTTTTGCCGTTTTATACCATCAAATATTATAATATACCTCGCCGAGAGTATATTATTATCGAGTTCGCCGCGAAAACAGATCTACATACTACACGTTATACACACACACACACATACAAATAACACTTTGGCATTACATTGCATATAAGGCAATATAGGTATAGTATTCGGCCGTGGCGTGCGGGTATAAAACCGAGCGAATATGTAAATAAGCCCAATGCCCAAAGACCGGTAAAAATCTATTCTTTAGACCATAAACATCCAACAATATATGTATATAATATATAAGCGACGGATGAATGCTCGCGTTATACCTAATATTATGTATTATTGAAATTGGTACCTGTCGATATTAATATGAGATGGTGGACGCGTTCGCAGGAGCAGCAGTAGTAGACGACGACCGTCGGTCGAACACCAACAAAATTAGAACATCCTCCCACCTTGTACTATAAATCATAATAATAATATAATATGGGGAGTATAATATTATATTACAACGATGCTCCGATTCGACTTGAACGGAGTTTTTCCTCGTCGTGGTTCTTCCGCGGTGGATCGTCAATCGTCCCTGAACACATTTTATAGCCTGCTGCAACCGAGAAAGTTAATAATAGTATAGCGTTTAAAATAAATACGTCCAAAAGAAAACTCTCTCTGTGAAATTGTATTGCTTGTCTTTGCGAACAACCCTCGCAACCGACCTGTAAAACGGTATACGTTATTTATCACGTCGCGGCGTGGACTCTGGTGTATACAATTTATTTGATCGTTGTGTAGTTTAATCGAGTGTTTGTCGTTTTAAACTGTACGATAACAATAATAATTGAATTCCGACTGGTAAGCCTCCGGGTTTTACTGGATGGTGTTTTATTCGACAAAAACGAGTAAAGACAATAATATAATATATTATACATACAGTAACAGTTTTTTCTTTATTCTCAACTCAGTCTGCCATTGGTCGATCATCAACTACATTTCGCCGTACAAATACGATGGTAGGGCTAGGGGGAAGCTGCAGCTATATAATATTATATACGTCATATATTATAATGTTATAGCAGGAAAACCACTATTTTTTCCGACGTGTTGCAATAACCAGGAAAGCGTTATGGATCAAGTAAACAACGATCAACATGTATAAATTAATATAGTATAATATATTATAAATATATCATCTATAAATCATTAAAACCCCATCAGCCATCAGTGTCACGCATATCCGGGAGGTTTCATTTTAAATCGCAGCTATAATTCTAATTTTATTAATATATGGATATTTTAATGGCTTCACAAATGCAAAGTCACAAGAATTTGAATTTAAACAAATATGTATTAATTTAAGGGCGATTTCAGTCTGGTGGCCGAAGGGCCGAGACTTTCTGGAATTGCGACCCTTTTCCCTTGTAGGACTGCATCACCAATCGCAGTGCGATTAATAGATCGCCATTTCACGATTATTTGACGTTGGAGGTATTTATATAAAGACATCTACACTGGCTTTACTTATAAGTAACAATAATAATAAAAAAAAAAACCACTAAAATAACACAATAAAACTTTTTTTAATACATTAAATTATTAAAAAGGGATTTGCTATTAAAAACAATGATAAACGAGAAAATGCTGGTATACGTTAGTATGTATAGGTACACGAAAATGTTAAATAATAATTATCAATCTTGTACAATACATGAATACAGTATGTTTCAAAAACGCGTCCGATGTATCCGACGTTGGATGTGTAATTGCACAACATAATATATTTCACAATTAAAATTGAATTAAATTATTATGCATCGTCAAACGCAAAAAACATTTTACCATTATAATAAAGTACCTATACATTCAATAGTGTTAAGAGGCCAAGAGGTTGTCCACGCGTGACTCTTATTTTATTGACATAATGTACACAATAATTTGTATTCAAGTCTTGTAATAAACTTTAAAAGTAGTAGACTTAGAAAAAAAATTATTTTGATACCATGTACCTGCCTACTAGTATATACGACATAGGTACGTACCCATCTAATGGTATTATTTTATTTAATAATGAGTAAATACATTTTTTAAAATACAATTTTTACAATAATATGAATTTTACCGAAAAACAACAATATTTACTCACAATAATCGGTACTATTAAAAAAAAATCCATATTACTTTTTGTTATAATGATTGAAAAGTTGTATAATATACCGAGAGTATATATTTCTTAAATTGTTTCTATATATATAATGAATAACTAGGACTTAGGCACATGATATATTAAAATTGTTTACATTATGGCATCCTCTCAGCGTTTGATTAACAAGCCAACTAAAATTAATACGTTATCTTAAAGTACATAATATTGAAATTAAAAATGTAAACGATACAATAAAACGGAACATCATACATTTGATTAAATTAACTTCTTACAGGTATAATAATCTTAACAATAATGATTTTTAGGGAATACTTAATATTAAATAAAAACAAATCATACAAACGTAGGTATTAGTACAATATTAAAGTAAAAATTAATAACAATGTTGTATTTTACAACGCATGTTACTAGTATACCTACTTACAGGATTTTGTTAATACATTTAAACGTAAACAATAATTATTTAATAGAAATAATCGTACAATAGGTATAATATATAGAAATAAATAATTTGAAAAAAAAAATACATGATAATGAATAGATTTTAAATAGATTAGAAAAAAAAATAGTTTGATGCTAAGACCTAAACATCGCACGACGACGACTTTGATAAAAAAAGTTCGTTGATTACCTATAGGCTATAGGTATAAAGATTCGACTAAACACGAGTTACAGTATTTTTAAGTACCTATACACTCTACCTTATATAAATAATATACATTATGATGGCATTGAGAGTCATTAAAGACAATTTATTATAAAAGTTGACGAATATAATATGTTTTAAATACTATAAGAATAGTGAGATAATAAAGAGCGAGATAAAGAGATAAATTTAAAAATAGTTAACACTAATTACATTGAGCTTTAATCGAAATAAAATGCTATATATGGCGAATAAAAAAAAAGAGTAATAATTAAACAACTTTTAATTAATTTATAATAAAATATTGGCTCCGTTATCACAACATTAAAGCAAGGATTGTTATGTTACTTCTTATGCATCATTGCCGTTGTATAATATTATATATTAATATATATGAGCACTCAACTTCCGTTAACCGAATCCAGCGACGACGAACATACAATAAGACCAGTCGTCGACGCATACATATATATAATAATAAAATATTAATTATTATATTATTATAACATTATTTATCAACATATATATATTTATTAAAACGACCCTGATCCTAACCCAAAGTGAAAAAAGTTAAAAAAAAAAAAACGGTATGATTGTTCTTGATCCAATCAATCAACAAGTGCGCGTGTGTTTTGTGTATGTATGTATGTTTGTTTGTTTGTATGTATGTATGTATGTATGTATGTATGTATGTATGTATGTATGTATGTATGTATGTATGTATGTATGTATGTATGTATGTATGTATGTATATATGTATGTATGTATATGTATGCATGCATGCGCAGGCGCGTGCGTGTATGTATTGGTGTGTATGTGTGTATGTGTGACGGAGAGACGGTTCCACAAGAGCAAGACTGTGGTGTGGTACGAGATTTTCATTCTCATTCTATACGATAACAATAATAACAACAATATGTATGTATAAGAACATAAAAAATGTAATAAATATATATGTATAATAGACGATTATTATTACAAAAAGAAAAATCGAATACCTAAAAAACAGATATAGCGTGTTTAGAATTTTTTTTTCATTTTTACGTATTAAAAAGTCTCAAAAAAAGCGTACAGATATACTGCAGAATGCAGATGTTGTATTTTAAAGAGCGGATATACCTATATACCTATTACCTCCTATATTATCCTATAAAGTATATTGATATTTTTTGTGTGCGTGAAGTTATAATACTCTAACCCTGTGTCGAGATTAAGTCATCTAAGAAATATTTACGAAAGACGAAAAACGACAACGAGAATAAAACCGGCATTATATGTTTAGCACCAATTTTTATACGACGTAAACGAATAAGTCTAAAACGAAAAAACAGAAAAAAAATTATCGTAAAAAGAAGACATAAAATTAAAATTATTATTATTTATTATGCATAATACTGCGCGTGTTCTCAAATGCTGTTATTGGTGGTCCGTTTGCCGCTTCCTCCTTTTGTCTCATCCATCAATGACTTGATCCGGGCTCGGAGTCCGGACCAGAGTCCCGTGGGTTCCATTCCCGTGGCGTTACAATCGGCAAGCGGGTCGTACAGGACTTGGGCCCTGTGCGGAGGGACAAGCGGGTCCTTGAGCCGGGCCAGATCGGTCTGCACACCCGCCATTTTGTCCTTGAGTAGGTTGTACGTGTGCAAGTCCAGACCGGACTTCCTGGCCTTCTTATGCACGGTGATCAGATACTGGCGGTCGCGAACGTCCGGCATCAAGTACTCCTGCGAAAAGGGCACGGTCGTGGTTATTGCAAGAATAATAATATAAAAATATACACTTGCTAAGGTTAGCTACAGCTTTGCAGTCAATTAATTAATGGTGTAGTTTACCCAAGCAATTTTATTTTATTGTATTTGATACACAAGAATTTCAAAATTTCAACAATTTTTTCAAAATATATTTTGATATTAAATTGTTTTGAAAAGGAGGGGGGTCCCTAAAATTAAAATAATATGATTCTATAGAAGCTCATAAAATTCATCATCTATGGAATCTATCATTTAATGGAAATTAGTTTTTTTTATTTTTGGTTTCAAATTGATATCTGTCGATTTTTTTGTAACATCATTAAATAATCTAGAATGATTTGTTGTTGGTGGCTGACGCTCTAAAATGAGTTGATTATTTTTTAATTTAGGAGACCCCCCCCCACACACACACACACACCAAGACCCAATCTACACTTCTGCTTATTTTTTTATTGTATTCATAGGAGACCCGATTCTATAGATTATAAAAAAATCAGGTGAGCTAAAATGGGTGAGGTCAAACCATCAGTAGCTCCCTGTCTAATACAGTTGTGTTTAATATTACCTTTGCATTCTCATATAATGTCAAACAAGGTACTTGGAAAAATCATAATTATAACGTAGGTACTTGACACGTGTGTCGTGTGTGTGCCATCGAATTATACACTATACAGAGTGCAGGTATCTGCAGGTACAAGTTTATTATAAAATAATGTTGTGCAAGTAATTATACAAAAAATAGCGATTGCGCATTCTATTAGGTATCTAGTATATAATTATATATCTATTGCTAACACAGATATTTTCGTCACACGACACCCTAAATCCCGCAGCCGTTGCACACGCACCGCGTCATGTTTTCTTTGTTTGTACAAAGAGAAATATTAAACTATACATGTAGGTACCTGTAATATTATAATATTATATTCGATTTTTCATAAATGTAAGCTTTCGCCCCATCAGCTGTTTTGATAACGATCGGAACGCACGATATAATACCTATATAGTGGTATTTTGGGTCACTGCTGCAGCCGTCACAAATGACCATCGTCAAGGCGGGGTCCCCGAACACTAAATATATTTATTGCCGCATTAGCGTAATATAATACAATATGCGTATATATATATACACACAGACCTTGTTGTACGATACGCCGATGCCCCGCGATAAAGCTCCTAACCGGGAGATGCTTTCGACGTCCGAACGGGTCCGCCAATAAATTTGTAGTCGTCCACGACTAGAGAGCATAATATTGAGCATTATGGTCTAGTTCGTTATCAAAAACGAAATTACGAAACTCTAGAATTACACGAACGGAATGAGCCCTCCCATCATGGCTCTGCAGAAATAAATCAAGCGCAGAACCATCGGAGTTAAAAACGAGTAGAGCGGGGTGGGACAGGGCGAGTCCGCTGCGCGATACGCGTTTTGTATTATATTAGGGGATGTAAAAAATATAATCGGAAATATAATACCCGAGTGCCCGCCACAGTAAGTGCCCTACGATATTATTTACCGACACCTTCTGCTGTCAACGTAAAATTTCATTTCTCCAACAACCCGGTAAATTACTTTTGAAATATGTAACTACTAATATATATATACGTGGGCGCGATGTCAGATATTCTGACCCACTGCAGCCTTAGCACGTACAGTATCATTTTATATATTAAAAACATATAGGTACGGTGAAAGAAAACAATAAATTACAAATTTAATAACAGCCATAATTGTTTTTTTCATTTTTCCTCCCTGTTGACTATATATATACCACTGTCGAAACAAATGTTTTGGGGGGAATTATTACCTTATTTAAGTATTTTTTTTTTTATTATTCGTTTTTAACCAAAACTTAAACTTATTTAAATATAATAGACTTAAATAAGCGCCACAACTCTATACATAAGTAGGTCACGTGTACGTGTACCAAAATATTATTCACCGGCGATGAAACAATTATTAACCCTTTGAGGAGCATGGACGTATATGTACGTTTTTAAAATACACTGTCAAAAAGAGCATTGACGTATATATACGTTTTTCCCGCGAATTCCTTTTAGTTTCATTGTTTATGTTTCCTTACGATAAAATACCTTATATGAAATATGTGCTGCCATCTGTGAATTAAAAAAGACGTATTTATACGTCTTTGCTAAAACTCGCGAGTGAAAAATAGGACGTACATTATTTACGTTTTAGCAAAGGAATTATTATTATCTACTGTACTTGAGGGTCCCTGCCTGTTAATTGTATACTAGGCAAAAATTAATCATTGCTACAAGAATAAAATAAACTCTACACAAAAATGTTATCATGGTGTAACGATAGTCACATGACCATTGCCTTGGTGGCTTGGTGTTTGTATAGACTATAAGTACCTACCAAATTCGTGATTTGCAGTCCAGCAAGAAAATACAGAAGTACCGTTATTCTTTGCTACTGGATGAACAATGAACATATCAGAAAATACAACACTAACGCAGCTACCGTTGCTCGAATTCCCAAATCTGGGGTCTAGATTTGAATGGACAATTGGTACATGTAAGGTACGTTACTCCATACATTGAGCACGGCTAATATGCTTAGTGTTAGTAATGGCAAACGTGTATATATGTATGCATTATATATTAAGCTGACCCGATATTTAGCACCCGTCGTGTTAATAACCGACCGGGACTCCTGGCAGTCGATAGTTTTATAGTCGATAATTAAGAGTCATAGTGGATGGTCGATAGTGGAAGTTGATGGGTGATAACGGCCTGAAGAAGAACCCGCGGACGACCAGCTCAACCCACATTGGATATCGGCACCCATGACACACCATGACCCGATCGGTAACCCTCAATTATAATTTATAAGTATACCTAATATATATTATTTGATGTTCGATATATTATGAGATTCGAAGTTGTAGTAATAATAATACATTAATATTTAATAACAGATACATATATATATATATAAGCTGAGTGATTTGCTTCACATAAGGTAACCCTGATCCCTATTAATAATATCACACACCGAGATCGAGTCTCCTAGACCTCGTTAAACAGAAGTGAAGTAATTGAGACGTTACAATGGTACTATAAGTTATTATATATAAGTCTTAAAAAATAAACCAACACTAGTTAAATCATATAATAAATATTATAAAAAAAATGTTAGATTAAATAAAAAAATAATATAAAAATATTTTATATGTGTATATTGTATACGATAAAATAATTAAACTTTTGTAACTCGTTACTTTAATATTAATCAAATAGCAATTTATTAAAAAATAATAATCATTAAATCAATCAACATATTTACATTTTACGAGTTTGACCTAAAAATCTAAGCTGCAGCCCAAGTAATCTAAAATGTATTTGATAATTCAAAATTGATGATACAGGATAAAATTAAAATTAACTATACATTATTCGGGTGGAATTAAAAAGTACAGATATTAAATTATCATATTTTTTTAATTAAAAAAATATAATACGGACATTTTTTTAGAGAATATGGTGACAATATTAAGCCATTATATTAAAGTATACAATGTAATACCCTCGCAAAATTTCTATAATATAATGATGAAAATATGGATAGGGTTTTGTCCTGTTTTAGTTTGAAGTCGTTAAACTACAAAAGGAACAATTGTTGCGGAACATGAAGCAGAATTTATACTTTGATGTTAATTGTTCTGTATAAGATAACAAATACATTTTGGTCTGAAAACATTAAGTACTATATTGGATCGTGCAAATTGATATGAATTCGTGCAAAATTTTGTGATAAAATGTTTGTTTATCATATACCCTTTTGTGAGAAGAATATTTAAAACTCGTACACGCAAATTTAAGTAAAACTCGAATAAATATAAAATAGATTGTAATGGAATACGAACATAAGATTTGTTGTCATAATGATGCAATGCCTCTATCACAATAAAGTGGATTAATGATTAATGTATAATTAGGTACTGTAAGTTAAATCAAACCATTTTTATCATAACGTAAATATTTTTTAAAATTTAAATACTTCCACCGATTTCTGAATTTAATATTCACCTATAGCCATGCACTTTTAAACTTTTTACATGATTTATATTTAATTAAAATGCGTAAATGAAATTCATAATAGTGTAACAAAAATAGTTCAAAATTTCAAATTTCACATGACTAGATATGGCTCAAAATGAGTCAAAATATTTTGAAAATCTAAGCATTATTTTGTACAGTACATGACAAAATAAAGATTTGGTGAAAATTTCAAGTATCTTTGGTTATTCGTTTTTAAATGACAACAAATTAAGAAAATTTGCATCTGGAAATCCCATGTCGAAAAAAATTTAATGTTGATTTCCGCTCAACTTAATATTATAATATTGTATATTATATTATAAATATAATATTTTATATTATATTTAAGTATACTGTTATTATTAATACGGTAGCCGGTAGTTTAATTAAAATCATATTTGTATATAATAATATACTTTAAAAGTTTCAAGTACCCACGAATAATATTTTAAAAATGTGATACAAAACTGAAATCGTTGTTCTTCATTTAAGTATCTAATTTCGTTCAAGTATGAACATAAAATAACTATAAAAAAAAAGGATAACCTACTTACGTGGAAAATTGTTTTAAATGTTCAATCGTTAGGTATGAAAGTTGAACTTTTTATACATTTTTAACTAGAAAATCATTTTAAAATTTAAAATTTGATAAATTTTGTCAAAATTTGAACTTAAATGCTTATAAAAAAAAACTGTGCCTATGTATTTTTAATATATTTCAACTGCTATTTAAAAAATATATCAGGAGCTTTGTATTAAAAAAAAAAACATTGTAAGATCAATACGTATTGTGTTAATCTAAAATACATTCAGTCAAATTAGAACAATAATTTGCAGATAATAAATTTATGAGGTATACAATTAAAACAATATGCGGTTGCTCGAATATTAGAAACGAGAATGTATAATATAAAAATAGTATAATAACTGTTCACATAATAGTAATAGTTTGTCTTTAAAGAAAATAGTACAATATGACAATACTATTTTCTATAGTAAATTTGTTTCAAACAAAACCTTTTAAGTGTACTATTAACAATAAAACACAAATAAATATTATGCTGGATGGTTGTTGTTTTTCAAAGAGTAAACGCCGATAACACATAGCCATGTCCAAATCCTTCCCAATGAAAACTTTACTGTCCCAGAATTTCGGACGAACAATTACTGTTTGTGATGATATACCTAACCTATAATATCCCCATTATCAAAAAGGAACAAGGCCGAATATTATCATCATTTCAAACATTAATCTCATAATTCCAGGTCCCATTATTAATGGCATGCTTCTAAAATTCCTCGAATTTCCCACTTCTCATAAATACAGGCACAAATGCACAACTCAACAATTTCCCAATATGGATAGGTAAATATTAAAATATTATTGATCGCATATATTACGCGTTATCCACCAATAACGTAATTCAAATTAAATTGAATTAAAAATGTATACCAGGCACCAGCTATAATATTATTTCGATTACCCAAATCGTAAAATTGAAAAAATAAACATACAGGATAATGGTTTAAGAAAATATGTTTTAATGGTTTCATATCACAATAATATTATTGTGATTGAAAATTATTCACTTAAATATATAATTATTGATTAGCTATACATATTAAGACGAGTCGATTATTATCGTCTGAATATACCTGTTTGGTGAGTACATAGTAAGCATATACGGCCATGGCGGTGCCGTAAGTGACGAAGTATGTGACCGGCTCCATTATGTCCCACGAATATTCCCACCAAGTAAGCCGAGCCAATATGCCAAACTGCACTGACATAAGTCCCAGACCAACCCATGTAAGCACCGATGTTTGTCTACTCGCTACCAAGTCGATGGATTGCCTTTTCTGAAACATAAATATGTATATATAATATATATGTATTATATATGTACACCGTTAATGTAGAAATGCGTCTTTTAAAAAAGAGATTCGTAATAATACTGCTGCAGACAGCAATGATTAGGTAGGTTTATTAATATTTATTATATTTTATTATACAGAGTGAGGCGCCCGTGTTTTTCCATATTCTTGTATTATAATCTTATGGGAAAAATGAGAAAACACTGTGACCCACACTGCATTAAATAGGTTTTAATATAAATATGTTTGGTATACCTATAATATACTATACATATACCGAATAAAAATGTTTTCATTTTAGTATAATTTTAGTTATGAAATATTAATCTGGAAACTAAGCACTAAACATTTATTTCGTTAATTTTTGGTGTGATACATCATAAAACAGAGGTTCTCAACCTTTTTATATCCACGTACTAGTGTACCACCTATACAGTTTGATCATTTTCTTGTACCACTTTACCAAATAACGTTTTTTTGCTTATCAAAAATAAATACGTTATTTTACACCAATGAAAATTTATTTTGTTAGGAACTACAAAATTGTGATAATATAAGCATTTAATACACAAAAAAAATGTAATATGTATGTACAGTTGTTATTTATATTATTATTAATATCATAAAAATCATAGAATATTCATTGTAGATAATGATCCATTCCATTATTTTATAAAGGGAGATTTTCTTAGCGTATACAACCTACGGACTTTCCACGTACCACAAGTGGTATCACAGGTTGAGAAACGCTGACATAATATATATAATAATAATAATAATAATAACTCGTTAAATATAATATACAGACAATATAAAAATTAAAAAGGTAAACACTAAATTTATGACGCGTGTTATTATTACTTTTAAAATAATTTTGACAACAATTAATGTTCCATTCAAAAACCAAAACTTGTATAGGTATAATTTGTACCTACGTATATATCCTATATAGATTATACACAGCAGAAACCATTTATTTAAAAAAATACATTGAATTTTAATATTTTAGTAGATAAAAGTATTTTAAAAAGCAAGTCCACGGTTCTACAATCATAATAATAGGCAGGTATATAGGTACTATATACCTAGTATTAATGTATTATATGTATTATTATAATAATGGACATAATTCATTGTACCTAGGTACATACAAACACATGGCATGTTTTCTTTAAAAGTCAATAACAATAAATAAAAATGAAAGGTTTTATATTATTTACTTTTTAGCTTTTAGGATTCCTAAAGGTTTTTTTTTACTCTGAAAAGGAATCATAGCGATTGAAAAATTTCATCTACGTACAGAACTCTCAGAAATATTGTATTCAATGAAACTGTTCGGCTTTGATAAACTTTATTTTCCTTATTGACTATTGTTGTGTACAATATAATACATCGCATATTGATCGTTTTCATAGCACGCGCATATGGATGATTGAAATCTCTACACTTAAGTCTATTTTGAACCAAACTGAATGGCATATTTATATAGAAGATACACCATGAGACACTATATATATATGTTTCCTCCCCATTGACTGTAGGTTATAAAAAAAATCAAATGTATAATAATAATACATCAATATTATTTGACGAAAAAAATATTAGGTATATATAATACTATTATGGTTTCAGTATTGATGTTTTTACTTTTTAGGAATATGCGATATTAGGCATTATAGGTATGATATATTCAAAACTTCAAATTTTCAAAATAAAAAAAATTGGTAAAAGTTAATTTATCGCAAACAAATACTCTAGTTAGACGGTTAGTGGTTACGATTATTTACATTTGTTATTGGTACCTTTACATACAATTTAATTAGTGAAAATAATAAGTTAACCCATTCAATTGATTTAGTACGCATTCGCACGTACTGTTTGTTTATTTGTGATGCACATTTCTAGAGTATTAAATTTTAAGTATCCTGGTGCTGTCCTGCATAACCTGTGAAGCAGCATGATTTGAATAAAGTTTGAGTTAACAAATTATTACTATAAATATTATGTGCACAGCTGTGTTGAAAATAATGTATTTGAGAGTTGAAACTCTAAGTAGGTACATAAGGGAAGTTCATTTACACGGCGATTGTCCTTCTTCGAGTTACTCGTAAAAACTTTTTTTCTATACATATGTATTTTTATTTTTATTGAATATAAAATATAATCTGCAGTAAATTGGTTTTTACAATATTTATTTTAGCACTTGTTTATAATTATTGAGGTATAACACGAATAGAGAAATCCATTTATAATACTCCGTGGCTTGATAGAACTGCAGATAAGTTATTTCATTATGCACAGCATAATTAATACTTTTTGTTAATATTGTGATGGTAGTAAAATAAAAACAAAACCATACATTTGGTGATAACTGATAAGGTAAAGGTACTCAATATACTTTTAATGTCAAATATTAAGTACAGGTATTGCTTATAAAGATATGGGTATACACAGTGTTGGGCAAAACAATACAATTCTTCGATCAACCGATGATTGCATGCAGTTTAAATGGATTTCATCTATAACTAAATAATAATATTTCACTATGAAAAAAATAATTAGTGAGATTAATCATAAACAATGATTAACAATAATGTACCTAATCATTATCCACGATTAATTTTTTCATAGTGAAATTTTATTATTTTTAACCTACGTCTGCGTGTGGATTTGTTACTAATTTAGTAATTTGAAAATTATTACATAATATTATACCTAATTTCTTTATGAATAATATAAAAATTTTAATTGGGTTTTCCAGAATAATGTTTACTAAAGTCAGATCTTATCTTTAAAAAATATATATAAAGTAAATATACATTTTTGACAGACATTTAAACCATTAATAAAATTAAAACAACTTAAATTTAGGTATAAATCGAAATTGAATAGTGAATTTTTTTAAATAAATTGAATGTGTTAACTTATTATAAAATATCAAGATACAAATATAATATTACTTATGTTGTACCTATTAAGCGTAGAGCCAGGATTTAAATGACCTAAAATAAAACTATCAACAAATTCATTGAAAATTAGGCAAAATGCAATTTTGCATAAATAACCCCCAAAAATGTTTTTTTTTAAATTTAAATTTCATTACGAAAAATCTATTTCAATAAATATTTTAATGTATAAAGAAGTTTGATTATTTTATTGCAAAAAATTAGAAATGACTCATCGCACATTGACTATGATTTGTATTGGCTAACAAGTAACAACTTTATCTTACAGCTCAACAGCCGTATTATTAATCCTAAAAGTACTAAAATATAAAACTAATAATATATATTACTACCTACTCGTATGTTAAATTCTAAACTTAAAATTTAATATTTTAAACTTGTTAAATAGCGAGTGTTGCATTTAAACATAACAAAATTCCTTGAGATATTATTTTTAATTACCTAATTTTACACTACAAACTAGAAAATGATATTAATATTCACTAAAAATAAAATATAACAAATTATTAAATATATAATATGATAAATATTAATGCCTAATATGCTCTAATAATCAAAAAACCGTGAAAAGTGCAAAAAAAAAAAAAATACTACCTAAGTAAAAGTTTCACTTTTTATAAGTATTTGTTACATGAATGGAATTATGTAATTTAATTACATGGTTTCAGAACTCAAAAAAATATGGTTTTCGTTGAAATCCGGGCCCTAATAATGTGTTTAAAAATAGTTATACCTAATACACATTTGTATTAAGTTATTTAATGTGCTATTAGTTATTAAAATCATTTATACAATCATATAGGTACCTAACAGTTTTAATAAAACACAACTCAACTTCAGAAGTTAATATTTAAATCATTAACTACAGTCTATATTTGTTATATTTGAAGATACCAACTTAGGTATATATAAGAAGTATAAGAATATTGATAAAATACATAATTATAATTTTTAGAATCAGGCCTTTGGTGTTTAAATTTATAACTACATATTATGATTATTCAAATAAATGCTGGGTTTATAATTTTGTACTTTCAAATATTCGTCTTTTGACTTTTACGGTAAAAGTTTTTAATCTGTCTTTTAAGTAAACAAGTTTTTTTAGAATGAAAAATAAAACTAAGAACTAAATTCCAAGTTTGTTGTTTTTATAAACAAAATATGAAAAAATATAAATATGTTAAATAAGGCAAACACTTTTATCTTGATAGCTATTATTTACAAACAAATTACTTATAGTTTATAAACTTGAACTTCAAAATAGGAAATGTTTATGTTTAATCATTTTTATTTTGAAGCTAAACACACCGCACCGCATATTGTTTTTAATCCAATTAGTATAATACAGTAAACAGTAGGTACCTATACAGTATATAATTTTTTATTATTTATAAATAGCTTTGGATAATATGAAAGTAAAAAAATATGTAGGTACCTACTACGCATATATACTATATCTAATTTATTGTACCTACTGTAGCTTTTATGATGATAATAAAATATAAATCAATATTATTTTGCCAAATTAAAACAGGTTAACAATAACTTTAAATAAAATGGATTATATACTACAATTGTATTCGGAGAATTTAGTGACTTCCTAAAGTCATTTAAAAACAATTGTTAGGTGGAAAGTTGCATGACAATAACATTAAACGAACACATATATATATATACATTCCGATATTATATTTTATGATTACACATTACATACATATTATATTATCTCTTATCTATAAATACGTCATGATAGAAAATTCAAAATTATTTTTAAAATGTCAAAGCCACGCTTGGTTAAAAGTTTACAACTTCCAAAAGAATTATGATTATTATTCCGTATAATTGATAAATAACTAATTAAAATTTGATTTGAAAAAGAAAGTATAGAGATGAATATGATGATATTATAATATAACAGGAAAATGGTATTCATTTCAACATAAATAAATATTTTTAAATATTTATAGTTTCTATTCTGCAATATACATATAAAATATAAACATATAATATATTAATTAT